AAGAGTCTATCTCAAAAAAAAAAAAAAGAGCTAGAAATTAGAATCAAACAAAGCAGACTTCAGAGCAAAGAAAACAGGTCATTTACCTAAAAGACAAAATAATGCTAAATATATGTGAGCTTTATAATACATGATCAGAGGGGTGAATTCAAATATGATATATTTGATCTATTGTAAGAACTTCTGTACGTGTCACAATGTACCTCCACCCAGCAAAACAGTAAGAAAAGGAGAGAGAATGTATATTAGAAAACTAATAAAGAACAATATACCACAAAAAAAATGCATGAACAGCAAACTGGCAACTGAAGGGAGGAGAGGATAAATCCACAGCTGCAGTTGGACACTGCAGCACTCCTTTCTCAGGTATGGTTAGACCCAGTATAGAAAAAATCAATATGGACATAAAGAGCTGAACAACAGCATCAACCAACTGAATCTAACTGGTATTTCAGAATACTCCACCCAATAATAGCAAAATATACATGGTTTTGAAGTGCATGTGGAATATTCACCAGTATCTATAAATACACCCCCCACATTAGTCATGAAATATCCCCTAAGGTTATGAAAGCCTCAGCAAATTTAAAAGAATTCAAATTTACAAAGTATGGAATTAAAGTAGAAACCACTAAACAAGAGAACAGAAAATTTCCTAACATTAGGAAATTACGCAACACATTTTTATATAATCCATGAATCAAATACAAAGTCTCTAGGAAAATAAGAAAATAATTTTGAGCTGAATGAAAATGAAAAAACACTATTTCAAAAGTTGTCAGATGCAGCTAAAAGCAATTCTTAGAGGAAAACTGATAGTACTAAACATCTATACTATAAAAGGAGAAAGGCTTAATTTTATCAATGACCTTAGGCTTCCAGAAACTAGAAAATGAACAAAACGACTACAAATCAAGAAAGAAGGAAATGTTGAAGATTAAGAGCAGAAATCAAAAAAGCTGAAAATAGAATAGAAAAAAAAAATCAACAGCTGGTTCTTTGAAAATACCAGTAAATTTGAGAAACGTATCAAGAGAAAGAAAAAAAAAAGAGACATAAAATATTTAAAATGTACGAGAGGATTCTCGCCAAAGATGGTGAAAGGGTAAGGGTATACTATAATCAGTTCTATGCACATAAATTCAACGACTTAAATGAAAAGGACAAATTCCTTGAAATTTCCTAAAGTCATCCAAGATGAAACAGATTATCTGAACAGGTCTAGTTATGAAAAATAAATTGAATTAGTAACTGAAAACCTAAAAACTTACAGGGCAGGTGGTTTCACTAACTATCAGGAGTTCTATAAAATTTCTAACAAAAAAACCTGGTATAACATGTTAGGAGCTGCACTGTCAAATAAAGCAGGCCATTAGCCACATGCTGAAATGATAATATGTTGGCTATATTAAAATATTAAATATTAAATATTTTTAAGCTCCTCAAGTTAAGTCTTAGGTCAGAAGTGGGATCTACTTTCTTAATCATTTCTTTCAAATATAAAAGAGAAACTATAAAAATCAAAAGAAAAATTGACTTTGAAGCAGCTATTGAGCCAAGCCGGATCCACTCTAAAATTCAGTTGCTCTCAAGGCCATATTAAAACAGAATACAAGCAAAATTCTTAAGAACAATCCTAAGAGGAAACTGGAAGGTCACTGAGGCAAGCAGTAGCAAGCTCATAGCATTCCCTCCTGGAACTAATGTCCAATATTGACACTGCCTTTTTAAAGAAATGAAAGCATAAGCTCTTAAAAGATAAAAGGAGAAAAGGTATTATTTTCCCCAAGATAGAGATTACAAAATGAACTAATTGCCAACTGAAAAGTATCTTTGTAAATCCAAGAGAAACCCATTAGAGCGTTATGTGGCTAGTGTCAAACCATTATTACAAGAAAAGAATGCAATTTGCTTTTCCGTGAGACATTATTCTCTTCAAAGATTTCCACCTTTAACTACAAGGCTAATGGAAGGTATCTAAAAATAAGGTTATGGTCACCTTCTGAGCAGTAATTAAGGAAAATAAATTGAATCAAAGAATAAGATGCTAGATAAATCTTAAAAGCCCCATGCACTGTTGCACATACCACTCATCATTATGATAAAAAATAACCACAAGTTACTTTTGTAGTAGCACATACTGATTATTTGAATGAGGGGTAATTATGCTTGCATCCTTGTTTATAAGAGGTATGTCCTAGTCTGATCTAGGGGCAAGAATACACAAGGGCATTTACTAAAAACTGCCATCACAAAGTAATTCAAAACTTTCTTTAAAATTTCTCATCTAATGTCAGATGCCCATGGCTCACACCACTAACACTAGCTACTCAGTAGGCAGAGATCAGGAGGGTCGTGGTTCGAAGCCATCCTGGACAAATAGTTCCACGAGACCCTATCTCAAAAAAAACCTCCACAGAAAGGGCTGATGGAGTGGCTCAAGGTGTAGGTCCCGAGATCAAGCCTAAGAACCGCAAAAAAATAAATAAATAAAAATTCTCATCTAAGACAGTTTTGACATATATTGAACATTTTTTATAAAGAAGAAATACACAGGACTGGAGTACACATGTAGCTCAGTGGTAGAATGCCTGCCTAGCATGCACAAGTTCCTAGGTTTGATCCCTAGTATCGAGAGAAAAAAAGAAAGCAAAAGAAATACACGTATTTATTTCAATTTTACATTTTAATTTTCCCCCTTGTTTTAAGAATTTCTGAAGTAAAGATGCACTATATAATCGATGTGATCATTTAACATGGTAGTGGCTCTACCCTCAGCCTCTATAAGAAACGCATTCATCAAACCAATGATGCAAATTAAAATAATGTCATAAGAATCAAGAAAGCGCATTAAGTTCGACTTATGTTTTACTATGACAGGGATATATTTAACTAATCCAGTTTAATCTATAGTTCTTACCAAAAATGCACACACACAAGTTATGAACTATATTTTTAAAAGAAAAATTATGCCTAAGCATTTAATCTTAAAACAGTCAATAGTGTTAGAATTACTTATTTTCATTTTAGCAGTTAGTAACATTTTAATAAAGAAGTATACTAAGTTAAAAACATTCTAAAAGAACTATCACTCTTAAATTCAGAATCCTTAGAATAAAACATTTCAGAACAAAGACATGGCTAGGGAAGACATGCTTTAAAATGGGAGAAACTAAAACTTACAAAGGTTTCAGGAAATAAACAATCCATGGCTTACCCAAAGCACCCAGTTAAGTTTCCTAACATGGGTGATGCGTTGTGACTTGGCAGGTTAGAAAGAAAAGGTTCACTTTTAACCTCTGAGAAATTAAATAAATAATCTACATATGAAATGACCTATGTACAGTATTTAACTATCTCAAGGAGGGAATCCCCATAAACACAAGAGTATCACTTAACCTTAGCTTGATTTAGAAAAGTCATTATGGTGCAGGGATAAATCCCTCTTGTAGAATTTTGGAAGAGGACACTCTGCTAGAAGGGAAAGCATGTTACTGTTGGTACCTAGGCTAAAATGAAGATACTAGCTATGAGTCCAGTTAAATGTCAGTTCCTTGAGGCCAAGAAGTATTTATTATGTATTTCTCTTTGGATCTCCAGGGAATGGAATACAGTAGAACCAACAGGAATTGATTTGTGATTAAGGAAGTTGAAGAGGATAAATGATGGATCCAATGTTTTTGGCCTATCTCAGTAGGTTATTGATGACAAGAATGTAAAAGTTTTGTCTGGGAGATGTCAAAATTCTGAAGTCTACATAATATCCAGGTGTTCTGCCAATAATCACTTAAAACACAGGTTTGAAATTCTAAAATGAGGCACAGCCATAGATACGATATGTGTAGTGGTGACAGCTAAAGCCACATGGGTAGATGAGGTCAGTGAATGTAGTAATCCCAGGGTAAAGATGAGATGAGACAAAGAACACTCAGAGAGGAGAAAGAAAAACAGGATAGGTATAGTTTAGTACCAAATGATAAGTTAGTATGAACTGAAAAGAGGCCACTGAATATGACAAGGGCAGTCACTAAAAATCATTCAATGGAGTGGGAAGTGGGTAAAGGAGGGAAGACATTAAACAGTGAAATGTGGAAGGAACCATATAGATCACTGTTCACTTAGTTTGGTAATAAACAGGTGCCAGTGGCTCCTAGTTACTTGGGAGGCTAAGATCAGGAGGACTATGGAGGACAAGAGTTTGCAAGACCCCATCTCAACAGAAAAAAGCTGGGCATGGTGGTGCACGCCTTTCATTCCAGCTATAGCAAAAAGCATAAAATAGGAGGAATATGGTCCAGCAGGCCTGGGCAAAAAAAAGCAAGACTCTATCTTTAAAATAGGCAGAGTAAAAAGGGCTAGAGGCGTGGCTCAAGCAGTAAAGTGCCTGCCTCACAAGGATAAAAGTCCTCAGTTCTAACCCTGTACTACCTAAAAAAAAAAAAAAAAAAAAAACCAGAAAAACAGTTGGTGCCAGGTATGGTGACAAATTCCTATAATCCTAGCACACAGCAGGCTGAGGCAGGAAGACTACATATTTGAGGTGAGCCTGGACTGTGCAATGACACCCTGTCTCAAAAAACCCTGATGATTGATTTATTTAGATAGATAGGAGGACTAAGAGGTGTTAGTAGTTTTACAAGTAAGAAATAAACACATTTCGTACATTATCTGTTTTATGACTTATTTCTAGAGACTTTCACAAGATCTTTGGTATTCTTATAGCAGCTACCCAAATTATAAAATTAGCAACAACACTAAATTGTTGCTTAATATAATATAAAGTACAACATCTCATACACTTTACTGAATTTTAACTAAATTTCTAGGATAAAAGAGGGAGCACTAGACTGAACCAACTGATCATTAAATTCAAGTCATTTACCTGCATGTGTAAAATAGGCCACACTTCATTATGCAATCCAGCATAATGTGAGCAACATGGGATGTTTTAAGATGTTGCCTTAATTCCTGTGCTGTAGGCCACAAAAGGATACACTCACCTCCATAGTAGAGTCCTGTAGCAGTGCACATCCGCCACTGTCCTTGATACATTCCTGCTCTGCTGGGGCTGCACATCTGGACGCTGACATCTGCAATCTCTTGAGGCTCTAGAGATCTCACCATCACCATGTTCACATGTCCAAACTGGTCTCCCCCGACATATTTAAGACAAACCCCTGGAGGCCAGGCCTCTGCACCTGAGTTCAATCAACAGAAAAAACTGTTAGGCAATCAGTGTTCCTACACTGGTGGAGTGTTTTTTATGAAACTGCAGAAGAGGCCTCTTAGCCTCACATCCATATAGAAATCTACCCACATTTTGCCAAGCTACATCATGTTTCATGCAACCGAACAGAAGGAGTTATCAGAATAAAGAGCTTCTGATCGTGCATATGGCAAAGGCAAAGCAGTTCTTCAAAAAGATGCACTTTCAGATGACCTCAGAGAAGGACACACATCACACTGGATATACAGAACCTAAGAATAATGTCCAGGAAGAACCATGGAGATTGTGAGCAGAGACCCTCCTCACCTTGGGAAAGTGCTTTCTCTACTAAAGATACCTCATTCCACTTTTACTTGAACATTATAAACTGACATTCAAAGTAAAAATATAGCCAGGCCTGGTAGCATACACCTGTAATCCCAGCAATTCAGAAGTTGATAGAGGGCTGGCGGAGTGGTTCAAGTGGTACAGCACCTATCTAGCAAGCGTGAGACCCTGAGTTCAAACCCCAGTACCACCAAAAATAAACAAATAAATAAATCTCAGAAGTTGATAAAGGAGGATCATGAGTTCAAGGCCAGCCTGGCTACATGACAAGTTCTAGGTCAACCTGAGCTATATAGCAAGACCCTATCTCAAAAACAAACAAACAAAAAGAGTAAATATACAGGCAAGATGACAAAACACCTAAGAAGTAATGTGAAAACTATTATCTCATTTAAAAAGATTTTGGTGTGGGTGGGACTGGGGGGTGAAATGCAGTGGTACAGTACTTGCCTAGACCCCATCTTGGCACAAAACTCTTGAGTTTCAATTCCCAGCACTGCCAAAACCAAAATAATCTTAAAAATGCTTTTTGCCTGACATAAGACTTTTCTTCTGGGGTCCTTAAATATAAAATACCCAGACTCAAGAAACTGAAGTTTAGATCTTAGGTTCAAACAATGGAAGGGAAAATCCTAACAATGGGGTGATCTCCCTGTGAAAACAGCAAGGAACTGCAGTCCTAGACACAATGGCACCAGTCAGAGGTGCTTATGGGAAAGATGGGAGTGATAGTGCAGAGAACTAGCTATGGTGGGATGTGATCTTTCCTATGAAATCTCTAATATGCCATGAGTGATATACTCCTTTTTATATATAGACAGAAGTGTCTATATAGCCTTTTAAGGGGGAATTTACACATTCATTACAAAAAAAAAAAAAAACCATGAAAAGGTGGACATAGGTACATGGCTACATGGTTAGGACTCTAGGACAGAAGGTACTGTAATTTATCTCTCACCAGTACTCCAGGATGCCTTGATTCCTTGCTCAAAAAGTGACAGGCTGGCTTGACCACACCTGATAGCTCACTATTAGAAAGGAACCAGACAGGGAAAAGCCATCATAGCTCTCTATTGCTAAGATCTTAGTTCCATTATAAATAGTGCCCTTTTAGCACTTGGGTTTTAAGGGGTAACATATGAAGCAGTGGCTATTATGCTTTGATATACCTTCTTTTTAAAAACCTGCCAGCTGCTGGGTACTGGTGCCTCACACCTGTAATCCTAGCTACTCAGGAGGATCTTGGTTCAAGGCCAGTAAGGCCAAAAAAAAAAAAAGAGAGAGAGAGAGACCCTAACTCAAAACAAAAAACAGGGCTGGCAGAGTGGCTGCTTTGCAAGCAGTAGAGTGCCTGCTTTGCAAGCAAGAAACCTTAGTTCAAACCCCAGTTCCACACACACACAAAGACAAAAGAAAAAAAACCTGCCAGCAAAGGGCAACCTTAAGTTAACACTATAAAGGGCAATCAATGCTAGCTGAAGTTGTAGATGATATACTGAATACATATAAATTCTTTGTTTCATTTCTAGTGCCTGGCCTGGCTGGTTATTTGTCTTAGGTCAAGAAAAACTGTGGCTCTCATGAAGCACCTTAGAAAATGTCCACTCTCTTTAAAGACCAAGATTGAAGGGAAAAAATTACTAAATGAATGAGGCTGAACTCTCACACACACACACACACACACACACACACACATACACATAGAGTAACAAGACAATTTTATTTTCGTATTTTGTTTATGTAAAAACCCAGGTAAAATAAGACTAAGTGTGAGTCAGACTCAGCTGTCCTAAGCAGACAACCATAAGCAGCTGAGACATTGAGCCATGTACAAGAAGGGAAACTGCTATGTTCTAGGGAAACATTACTTGGTAAAGCATCAAATGAGTAACATTCAATGATATGGCTAACACCCAGCTCTCCAGATAACTGTGACTGCTCAATGCAGTACTTGGAGAGCATTTGGCGAGGGGGGGGGGGAGCAGATTGCTGTATGTTGACCAGGGAAATACTGGTGAGTTGTTTGGACCACCTGGCTAAGCAAGCATGAAATCTAGATTTGAGAAGTACAATAAAAAAGGACTTGAAATTAGTCTCCATTACAAACTACTTTAATGGGACTATGTTACTTAGAAGACTATGTCTATATTTTATGACTTTCCAAGTTAAGTCTCACAATCAAATATATGATTAAGGCTGTGATGCTCTTGCTATCATTGAGTATCACTTTATTTAAAGAAAAAAGAGTAAAAATACTCAAGTGATGGAGTGCATGCTTAGCAAGCAGCAGAACCTAAATTCAATCCCCAGTACCCCCCCACACACACCTGTCATATGCAACTTCAAGATGATATAAAGTATCAAAAAAAAAAAAAAAAAAGTCACTCAATAGTTCCAGAAAGCCTGGAAATTACTAAATACCAGTGATTACAGAAAAGTTTTGGAAATAGTAAGGAACATCCAAATAGCAATGCAGAACATAATTCTCAATAAAGACCTCCTTGTTAACCCCTGTAAGTGTGGAGACTGCATTTCAAATTAAGCTCCATGAAAATAAGAGACTTTTATGAATCTTGTCACCAGTTCTCTCCTATACTTAATAACTGGAACATACTACATAGGCTGAATGAGTGCAAAAGTATCTTCTCTATATTCATTAACTATTTGAATGAGCTAAAAGAAAACTTTTTCAAATTCTTTTCCAAAATTTTGCTTTATATTCACTTCTATGTAGCTCCAAAAATAAAGATGACTCTGGATCAATACTCCGAACCTATTCTCTCATAGGACAATCACAACTATTTTGCCAAAATAAGACAAATATTAGGGTTTACATAACATGAGCCTTAACATTTGGTACAGTTGGACAACAAGGCATAGTGTTGTAATAACTAAGAAGTTATAAGTGGTGATAAAGAGAATTCTGTCTACTTACATCTTTAGAAGGACAGTTTCAAAATTTAACATTAATCTCTAACTATAAGGTTTCTTGCTCAGGGCTCCCCAGCCTCCAAAACTTCTATAGTAACAAAAGTTTAGATCCTGGAATTAAGCATCTATGTTAGTAAATGTTAAAAGTTTAAAGTGGTAGAGTGCCTGCCTAGCAAGCATAAGGCCCTGAGTTCAAGCCCCAGTACTGGAAGAAAAAAAAAAATTAAAGTGTATTACAGTTATGTTCTTTGGGGAAGTTGTTGGAACTGCTGTGTATGTGAATGCCTGGCACACCTAAAGCTTTGTAGCAGAAAACTGCCATGAAAATTATTATCTGTGTAACTCTTGTCAGTGAGCAACTGTCTCTTAAAGCGGGTTATGAATGCCAATAAGATAGTGAGGAGAAATAACTGAGGCCTGTCCTATGTCTGTGTTCCTACTCTATTTTCGGGAAGGACGTAGCCAAATTAGGATGTTGAAGAACTAGCACACATGCCTGTTCTCTCTCTCCTCCCTCTAATAATACACCTGCTACTTGGGAATCATAGGAAGCCAATTTAACCAAATTAACCAAAAGGAAAACACTGAGTTTATAGATACAAAACTACTGTACAACTGCATGAGCAATTTCCAAAAAAAAATTTTAAAAACTTATGTCTGCAAATGCCTTGAAAGAGAAAATCTCTAGCCACTGCTCCCAACTTTTCAAAAGGAATTCAAGGCACAAAAACACCCTTTCACACACACCAGGAAACAGGCTGCAAACTTGGAGGTTGTTTTAATCTGAAGTTATTAGGCAAAAGCAGAAGAAAAAAAGCAGTCAAACACACCAACAGAGCTTTTCCTAAGTCAAGGTGAAAGGCAGGCTCTCTGGGGTTTTGATTTGACATTCTAGCCATTGTTTATAACCCCTCCCATCAATCCAAGGAACAATTTAGTGAGTAAGTGATATAGCAAGAGGCTTTTTGAAATTAAAATGGTTATTCTGTAACAAGATAGTATTTAAAATATTTCAACAGCACTCTTAAAATTTTCAGTATTTAAAAGCACTAAGAAGAGCTGGAAGTAGTAATAAATGCCTATAATCCCAGCACTCAGAGGCTGAGGCAGGAGGATCCAGAGTTTGAGGCCAGCCTGGGTTATACAGTGAGCCTCTTTCAAAAGAACAATAAAGAACTCAGACAGCCAAACCATTTTTAGTGTTTCACTATAAGTAAACAAGACTGGTTTAACTTTAAATAACTTTTTAATAAATCATACTTTGGAAATTTCACTCATAAAATAATTTTGCATGTGTGTTTCAAAAGCATTTTTAGTGACAGCAGGTTTTTATAATTCTGAGAAGAAACATGAAAATAAACTGAAGAGATTTGATATTTTTAAAAACAGACAAAATTAAGAAAGGTATGAAAAGATTTTAACAAAAGAAAATCAAGAATTTAAAAAAAAAAAATAGAAAATGTGGCTATTTTTCTGTTACCATGTCCCTCCCAAAATAACAGTGCACCACTGTCATAACCAAAAGGGAAAGGAGTTAATAAAACTTTTACAAAACCACAGGTGTCCTGAGCCATCTACAACACTGGTTCCAGTCGTCCAGATTATGTATGCTTGATCAGTGACACACTGAACTTTTCTCCTAGTCAAACTTACTTCTAATTATGCCAAAAAAAAAAAAAAACTAGGCAGAGTGCCAGTGGCTTCCTATCTCAAAAAGGACTGGCTTGGCCCAAGTGGTAGAGTGCCTGTCTAGCAAGTGTGAGACCTGAATTCAAATCCCAATACTGTTTAAAAAAATTTAAATTCTTATATAAAAGGCTAGTTTAGCCAGTCTTTCCCCATCACAGAACTGAATTACAAACAACTGAAAACTGAGTTAATCAGTTTTGTTTTGTTTTGTTTTTTTATGGCGGGGGGGGGGGTGGTAACTAAGTTTTGAACTCAAAGCCTTGAACTTTCTAAGCAGGCACTCTCAGTCATTTTTTTTCCTTTTTTTATTTATTAGCATTATTATAGTTGTACCCTGGGTTCAAAGTCATTTTTATAGGTTTGTTCAGTTCCCAGCATTTTATATTATCAAATTACCTTCTAGATAGGTTATCTCACACCTACACATTCCTAGCTAACTACTACTTTTTGCCTAGTTTTTCAACTCAGAATTTCTCTGAAAGCCTCATTAATAAGGAATTAAGTGGTGGAAGGGACAGGGTGGAGAAATGACCCAAACAATGTATGTACATGTGAATAAATGAATAACAGCAACAAAAATACACCTTGCATGGTGTTCCCTCTAATAAGTGACAAAATATCCTAAATAAAGTGTAAAAAATTAATGAAAAATAAAAATAAAAATAAAAAATAAGGAAGTTAAAGTACCTTCAACCAGGTAGCATAACTTGTCATTAGATGGAACAAGAGATACTAAACTCAGGTAAATAATGACTTTAACAAGTAATAATTAACAGGTTACCAAACACACACTCAGACATTTCAAAGAACTATGATTAACTCATTTCCAATCTGTCGTAAAAGAGGAAGCAGCACACCAAAACAACATGCTTCTTTTAAAAAATTAACAATTTCACTCTTTTTCCTTCTGAGACAATTCGCACACATCTTATCCAATTTCCAAAGCAGTACTAATGTTTCAGATAGATATTCTAATGAAATTCCAGAGAGAATGATCCTGTTGGTTATAAAGAAACAAGTTTTCAAAAGAGCAGATGCTCACAGCTCTTTCCAACTACTTTGTTCTATTCAAGGATCTACCTCCTCTAGACTGCTGGAAATGACTGGAAGATTAATTAGAGCAGAAATAAAATGATGTAGTAGAACTGTACAGGTGGAAGCAATACTCCAACCCCATAACAAACCTAGTTCCTAGTACCAAACGAATACTGGATTGTGTGGAGAGGCCATCATAACTTAAGTGGCTTGGAAGTATGAGACCCAAATTCTTCCTCTTCTAAAGCAGGGTATTTCACTGATGTTCAGTCATCAGGCCAGTATAAGAAAATGCTACATATTATGATGTATAAGAAAAAAGAAAATCTCAGAGTTACACAGTCACATTCATAAGTTAAAACATTTCCTGCTTATTTAACTATTAAGAAAACAAACATCTCATGTTAATCAACTGGGAGGAAAAAAAAACCCTCTAGGCAAGGAAGATATGCCCATTATATACTTACCAGAATTCTGGATCCGCCATGTTTTTATAAACTGAGTATCAGGGGGTATTGACTCCCCTTCTCCTATGGTGACATCTTCAACAAAAGACATAGAGGGTACACTGATGTTTGGGCTCTCAAAGTCATAATAAGCGCCAATTGCAGCTTGCAAATTCCTATGAATAGAGAGAAAAGGCAAAAGACTGTAGTCCTGTCTAAACAATATTATCCTAATTGTCAAACCAAAGAAAAAGCATGTTTCACAGTGTTTGTCACTAAACCCGATGCTGCTACCATACAAGTCTTTAAAGCCATTGATTCGGGCTAAGTAACAGATGGAAAAACACCAAGACCAAAAAACTTATGAATCACTTCCTTCCGAAGGTACCCACTTAGGAAGTAAGAAACTGTCATAAGCAACACAAGAACAGCAAGAATGGGAATCAGGAGTGGTGGCTCCCATCTATAATCCCAGTACTCAGGAGGCTCAGGCATGAGGATCAAGAGTTCAAGGCCAGCCTGAACTCTTAAAACTTTAAAACCCTGCCTCATTTAAAAATAAAACAAAAAAGAAAGAAAAAGGAAAAGAAAAAAAGGTAAGGAAGTCAATCAAGAGAACTTCATAAACATGACTATGGAATTCAAAGTTGTTCCATTTTTTAAGATATTCTAATTATTTAATTTTTTGAAAAAGTCACATATACATGATTCAAAAAGTTTCATACAGAAGAATAACCATCACAGAACATCATTTTTTAAAAAAAAAATCTTATCTCTTTTTCCTGCAATACATACACATTCTTAAATATTCTTCTAGAACTTCTTTATAAGAGCAAATACAATATATATTTTTCCATTTACACAACTGACGCCATATTATACATTGACCTTGGCTTTAGTCCCTTAACATTAGGTCTTGAAGATATTTCTATGTCAATATGTGAGAATTCTCATTGTTTTTGTACAGCTATATAGCTATATCACTATTTATTTAACCAGCCAACTTGTGTGTTTCTAATTTTGACTTCAATAAGTAACTTTTAAGCATGTCATTTTGTATGCATGCACACGTATCTGTGGGATAAGTTCCTACAAGTGATATTGCTTAATCAAAGGGCATAGATTTGTGATTTCCATAGATACATTCAAAGTTCCCTTCATAAAAAGTTGCCACCAGGAATGTATGACAGTGCCCGTTCCCCCATATGCTCATCCATAAGTGTTTCCTCAGCATTCTGGATTTCTGTCAGTCCGATAGATAAAATACATTATCTCAGTAAAACCTTAAAATTCTTTTCTTAGGGTTGGGGTATAACTCAATAATAGGGCACATGCTTAGCATGCATAAAGCTCTAGGTTCAATCCCTAGAACCAAAACAAAGAAAAAAAAAAAAGAAAGACTTCTATCATAAGAGAGGTTGAATATCTTTTAACTTCTTTTTTTTTTTTCCTCTTCAATCCTCAGTACTTGGGTTTGTACTCAAGGCCTGTGCTTGCCTAGTAAGTACTTGTCACTTGAGCCATACCTCTGGCCCTTTTTTGCTCTGGTTAGTTTGGACATAGGGTTTTGCTTTTTGCCCAGGTCAGCCTGGACCACAATCCTCCTATTTTAAGCTTCCTGCCATAGCTAGGATGACTGGTGAGCACCACCACACCCAGCTTTTTTCCACTGAGAAAACTTTTGGACCAGCATGGGACCACAATCTTACTACCTATGGTATTACAGAAGTATACCAATATACCCGACTTGTTCGTTGAGAAAAGGTCTTGCTAGCTTTTTGCCAAAGCTGGCCTTGGATCTTGGACCTCAATCGTCCCAATCACCAGGTACAGGCATGAGTTACTGTACCTGGCCTCTTTGTATATGTTTAAGAGCTATTTATTTGTAATTTCTTTTTTGGAAAAGCTATTTTGTAAATGTTGATATTCTTTTTCTTTGCAGTACTAGGGCTTGAACTCAGGGCCTTCACCTTGAGCCACTCCACCAGTCCAATTTTTTTGTGATAGGGTTTTCTGAGATAGGGTCTTGCGAACTATTTGCCTGGGCTGGCTTCAAACTGCGATCCTCCTGATCGCTGCCTCCTGAGTAGCTAGGATTACAGGTATGAGCCACCGGCGCCCGGCTTTTTGGTGTTCTTTTTAATTGCTCACAAATCCCCTTTTGTCAGAAGAAACTATCAAGCACATAAACCAGAGTCCTACCCAAATGAGCAGAATCACATAACTGACAACTCCCCGGTTCATCAGTGCCAGGATCCAAAAGCCACAACAACTGCTTTACTAAGCTATGTTCATTACAGAGATCAAAGAAATGTTTGGTAATTACATTAACTGCTTTTCTTCTGGTCTTACTCCAATCAGTGACCTCATACCCACAGTTCCCAGAACAGACAACAACCCAAACTGTATGTTTCTAAACAGAAGTCAATGGACTCAGTGAGCTGTTTTTAATTATGCACAAACATGGTGAGAAACAAGCTATGACAGTACACAGCTGTTCAACAGACATGCTATTAACAGCAAATAATTTTCTGCAGGGGGCCTGCCTGCTCCTCCAGGTGTTTGCAGCTGCCAAAAAAAGCAGGTTATATTTAGAGAAGCTACCTCAGGTCAAGCCTCATGCAACGGTGACCTGTCGTATTTAGTCAGTAAGGATTGGAATTACACTACCAACAACACTGATTATGTGCTTGATAAAGTTTACATGGAGCAGAGCTGAGCCAGGGCAAACCACACCTGTTTGCTTACTGTTCAATACTAAGGCTTAGATTTCGGTCTTCCCAGCAGGTTCCTATCCAGTTTATGGTGATCCAAAGCCAAGGATATGTGACTGATCAAACTTGAGGAAGTCTCGTCTTTATTACCCTCAAAGGGACTCAGAAGTACATATGGAATCAGTCTTACCCTTAAGGACCAATGATAAAATGAGAGAAAAATAAAAATGAGAGAAAAATAAAACTAGCTTACAATTTGATCTTTTTGAAATATTTTGTAATAGCTGTGTCCACCTTTTTTTTGTAAAAATAATTATTCTGCCTCAGGTCTCCAGCAAGTAGCTTGCTAAATTGTTTTCTGTTCACTTAGCTGTAAAATATGCTTGGGAGGGAAGAAACCATTTGTGCATTCAGGACAATTGTCAATTCTCATCCCCAGCCTGTGTCATATTTCACCCTTTGGCTCTACCATCAGGACAGGACTCTGAAACCACTACAGTAGGAACACGAAGTAGAAAAGTCAAGCTACCCTAAACTGAAGCAGATTCATTCCCCTCCTCTTTTCTCCTTTTACACATACCAACTCATTCCAAAACCAAAGCATACAAAACTGCTTATTTGTACCTATATTATACAGAAAATTCAGCCAGAAAAAGATTAAGAAACATTTTTAAAGCCCAAACTGAAACTGAAAGTAGTGAACTAGAAACCTGGCAGGAAGCTGCAGTGGAGGATGACAAAGCAAATTCACTTCCCAAGTACAAGGCAGAAAGCAGACTTCTGCCATCAGGCAGGTACCAGCTACTCAGAGTTGGAATCATTTAGATTCCTGCCCCACTGGACTGTTCAGGAACAGACTGCCAGAAAAGTAGCTATAACATGTACTCCAACTCAAAACAACAGAGTTATTATCAGCCAACAAGAAATTCTATGTAAAATAGAGCTGGCTGAGGACATGGAAAGGGGAAAACACTGACCCTGTAATTAGTTCAGGCCGAAGAGGTTTGTTTGTTTGTTTGTTTGTTTGGTGGCACTGGGCTTTTGAGCTCAGGGCCTCACACTTGACAGGCAGGTGCTCTTACCACTTCAGCCACTCCACCAGCCCCAGGGCAAGAGTTTAAACACCTAGGTTCCTTCAGTACTTTTGCTCAAGAAGTTTTTAATCCAATTCCAAGCAGTTAAAAGAGAGGCAACCTAACAGTGTAAAACAGCACAGGCTAAGAAAGATTGTCCTGATAGTTGCAACACTGTAAATTTTTTAATTTTAATTTTTATTTATTTTTTTGCAGTACTGGGTTTTGCACAGGGCCTACATCTTGAGCCACTCCATCAGTCCTTTTCTGTGATTTTTTTTTTTTTTTGAGACAGGGTCTCCCTAACTATTTGCCCTAGGCTATTTGCCCCAGGAAGGTTTCCAATCGTGATCCTCCTGATCTCTGCCTCCCGAGTAGCTAGGATTACAGGTATGAACCACCAGCACTCAGCCACTGTGAAATCTTTAATACTTGGAAACTGTATACTTGAATGGTTAAAGCAATAAATGTTATATCATGTAGATATAACCACAATAAAAAATGTTTTAAGAGTATCAGTCTTTGGAGTCCGGCACTTGCGGCTTAGGCCTGTAATCCTAGCTACTTGGGAGGCTGAGACAAGTGAGGATTGTGGTTACAAGCAAGTCTGGGCAAATAGTTCAAAAGACCCCATTTCCAAAATAACCAGAGCAAAATGGACTGAAAGTGTGGCTCAAATGGTAGAGCACCTCTCTTGCAAGTGCGAAGCCCTGAGTTCAAACCCCAGTCCCACCAAAAAGAAAAAAAAAAAAGAGTATTTAGAGTCAGCTCCTGCCCTTGGTATGTGGCTTTCAGCAGGGGGCTAAGTCTGTGAATGTTGTTACTTATCTGCAAAACTGAGTGAATACAATCATTCCATCCTAAGGTTAGCTGTGAAGATTGCTGAGGCAATGTGTGACAATGTTCTTGTTCATAAACTGTTCATTCAACAAATTTTAATGAATGAGCACTTACCCACATGTTAGACACTTGGTCTGAAGCTAAGATAGAAAACAGGCATGACTCCTGCCTTTACAAAGATTAACTCCTACTACCTCTCACATGAACTATCAGCAAAGCAGCTTTTCCTCTTTAGGTGAGAAATGGGCTTGGTGTAGAACAGTTTCAACTGCACTAATCAAGTTAACCTTACTTGCAGAAGAACTGGTGACACATGACATGTGTCCTCTGATAAAATACGCTTTTTTTTTTGGGGAGGGGGAAGGCAAAAGACGCTTGAACTCAGGGCCTATACCTCAAGCCACTCCACCACCTCTTTTTGGTGAAGGGTTTTTTACGAGATAGGGTCTCACAAACTATTTGCCCAGGCTGGCTTCAAACAGTGATCCTCCTGATCTCTGCCTCCTGAGTAGCTAGGATTACATGAGCCATCGGTGCCTAGCTAAAATA